CAAGAGAGGCTACTTATAGTTTCTTCCTGTACACTGTTGGAAAGTGCCTAATTGGGAGCGGGCATGTTAGACATAGTCTAATGTCTAAATAAAAAAAGAAGAAGGCTTATTTACGACCCGTAAATAAGCCTTCTTCTCCCATCCTTTCTCTTATGTCTTTATATTTAATAGATCTATGGAAAATAATTAGTATAAAAATATTGAGTATATTTTCTACAATTTTTATGTAAACGAAACGGATAATCTTGGTGCAGGGTTGCAGGAGTTTCATCATACATCTGAATACCGCACCCATGGACATGACAACCCTGATGGAGTAGCAGACTTTATCATGTTCTTTGTAATGGAAGATTTCTTAAAGGAAGATTCAGTCCTAACAGAGAGAGTTAAAGACATAAAGCTTCACCGGTTGGACAACCTAAAAAAAGGGATCTAACAACAAACCAGGTCTTATGATAATAATATCAGCTCATGTATTTATCACAAAGAGAGTTGGTTACCTAACTTTATTAATAAATTACACGATTTTTTAAAGGTCCCATACAATTCGAAGAATTTTTTTTTCTTTACATTCATAATCAAGGAAGCGTTACATAATCGCTATTGTGCTAACATAGATGTGGTTTTAACATGGAATTCAAGTCATTGTGGTATATCTGGAAAGGAGAAAGTGATTGCTTTGCTAGAGTTGTATTCCAGGTGAGACGTTCCATTTATAGTAAATTTCTTCTTTAGTCTGTAAACCTAAGCGCCTTCCTTCTAAACAGAGGTAGATATGGTACGCTATGGTACACTAGCGCAACAAAATTTAGGCACTCAAATTACTCCAATTGGTGTAATTACATTGCAATTCTATTGCTATCTTGCTATCTCTTTCCGTATAATATCTTCTAAATCATCTGTCACCAAAGAAGCCGTCCATTAATCACGGTGGGGGGAGGAGAGGGTTTGGCAAAAATCACGAAGTATCCCAAGGGGGGAGGGGGGGTGTAGTAAATGAAAAGCGGCGTGACCTTGACTCGCCGTTACATTTTTATCACGGTCCTTAATTTCAGAATAAAATCTATTATAGTATTTTATAGTACTTGAAAATAATATTCTAAAAATTTTAAGATTCTTTGTAGGTAAGTACTAAAATTACAAGTCATTTTAGTCTTAAACCTCACCACGTATCACCAAGGGGGAGGTAAAAAATACTAAAAAAACATCACGTGGCCCCAAATATCATATAATGTAAAGCGTTACAATTTTTAAACGCCGCCCAATATGGACATGCGTAAACTTTATTAAAACATCATTGATGATAACAGCTTGATGATATGCGACTGTCAATTGGACTAGAAAGGTGTGAGCATATGGTGTGAATCAACCATCTATTACTACCAAGACTTCGTTTTTTTTAATACCGCTGCAGTCATAACAGTACTGCACGCCCCGTGAATGTTAGATGTTCATTAGCTCTTGTTAATACTCTCATCATTAAAACTCCGTTAAGTTTATAGAGATGAACAATGAGTCTTTAAGCTGGGTTTTTTTTATGTCTTTTATTTATTTATGTATAGTTTATATTCCGCTAATAATGTTACTAACATGGTGTCTTATTCCTATGTATATAAGTAGACAATCGAAATTTGTTTTAAAGAAGTCATTAAATTTTATCATGTGGCTATACTACGCTATCTCAAGTTCTAACTATAATACAGGATCAGGTTATTAAGACGAACAACTATCGGAGATACATCCTAAAGGATGGCACCGTCGACATCTGTCGAGCTTGTCGCCATCCCGGGGAGTCGCTTCGGCATGTTATCTCCGGTGTTCCATGCTTTCTAACTCTGAGTATCTGCATAGACACAACCTAGTAGCCAGAATCCTACACCAGGAGCTCGCTCTGAAATACGGCCTCGTGGAACGGAAACTGCCGTATTATAAGTACTCCCCGGAGGCCGTGCTCGAAAATGACCGCGCCAGGCTCTATTGGGACCGGTCCATCATCACGGACAGGACGATTGTCGCGAACAAACCTGATATCGTGTTGATGGACCGGGCACAGTCGCGGGTATTTTTGGTCGACATTACCATTCCATATGACGAGAACCTCGTGAAAGCCGAAACAGATAAGAAGACGAAGTATCTGGACCTGGCTCACGAGGTGACCGACATGTGGGGTGGTGTGCCGACCGAAATTATCCCGATAGTCGTGTCTGCGAATGGGTTGATCCCAGTCAGCCTCTCTAAACATCTGAGGCGACTGGGACTCCGGGACGGATCGCTCCAGGCTCAAATGCAGAAGGCGGTGCTCCTCGATACCGCCCGCATCGTCCGCCGGTTTCTCTCCCTTTCGCCCTAACCCTCGGCCGTTTGGTCTCCCCTGCCGAGGGCTTCCGTCTGGTTGGGTCCTATTTATATATGTATTATATAAAATATTTATTTATATATATATATATATATATATATATATATATATATATATATATATATATATACATATACATATGTATATGTTTATTTTTATCGATAATATTTATTTTATATATGCAATATATATCTATCTTTATTTTTATTTTTATTTATAAACCCAACCAGACGAGAAAACAAATGAATATCCCCCCAATAATAATAATAAAATATCTTTATTCACATAGACGCTTGTGCGTTCTTATGAAACGTCGAAATTTTACAAGGAAATTAATTAATATGTTCGTAAGTTACCACCGGTTCGGAAAGCAGTTTCTGTTGAGAAGAAACCGGCAAGAAACTCAACAGTTGCTCTTTTTTTAAAAGGTCAGTTTACAATATAATGTTACAGGTATAATAGTCTTGTTTTAGCCTACGTGAGTATCAACAGTATTAACCCCAAGTTTTATCAAGTTGCTCTTAAAGTACTGAGTTATCGGCAAAATCACTGACCTATTAGTGGAGCCTAGTCAAGTAAAGAATAAGATTATAGTAGGCAAAAAATACACTCGGGCGGACGATGTCATAAAGACTGCGTTCCTAACTATTTACATATGTACAACACAAAACAATCTACAGAAATAAAAAGAACAAAAAAATAACAGAAACCTTGCTATTCCGTCGTAATTGTTTCACTGTTCTTTCACAGAATCCGCCCGCACCAAACGACGGTGCTCGGAGAAATGTTTTAACGACGACAAAGGCGCCTGGGGGCTTTGTAAAAGTACCGCTTCAGATGTTGTGGTAAATGAATACAATTGAAATTTCAATGAAAAAGGAACCGAACTGAAAGTGCTATTGCTATATGTACCTGTTCTTTGTCATATTCCCCGGAACGTGATGCGAAATTGCATGTATCTAAAAGATATCTGTACAAAGAATATGTAATAAGTTAAACACAGAGCCGAGAAAGGTATATTAAACATATCGAATACGAGAACTTTGAAACTGGTAAGATTCATGTGCTCCTTATTCGATTTTAAAATACCGTCCAATTTATACAATAAATTAAAATGTGCATCCAATGTTAATAACAGACTTAGGGCGCGTGCAAAATCTCTTATTGTACCAAGACATAATCTGGTGCGAACACGAGGCTGATTTACCACCACCTATTCGTGAGTTGCGGTCAGCATCTGATTTCAAAACAATATGTAAAAAATGGATTCTGATGTAAATGCTCAATAGCTCTATGGTACCGGCATGATAAAACATTTTTTTTATTATAATTAATCTTTGTTTACAATTATTATTTTATTGTTAATCGTGTTCTGTTAGTTAATGTCAGGCTGGGTGCCCGGACCAAAATAATCGTATTTTAAATTACTTGTACATTATTTATGATTTCAGACCAATAAAGATCTATTATTATTATTATAAAACACTTGAATATCTCTGTAATATATCTGTGTCTAAAAGTACTAATTTATTGATAGGAGTTTTTTCTACTTGGTTCGAGACCAGTGGATAGGTGTATTGGAAACGATTAAAGTCTTGCGAATTAATTAAAAAGTAACCAATATATGTAATAAATTTCTTGCCTTTTTAGATTAGTTAGGATTATGTTAACATGTACTGAAAAATTTGATATACCGATACTACAATAACTCTACCAACAGGGTAGAGTTATTGTAGTCGGTCAGGCGTGTGTATCCTCTTTGTAGTTGTATATTTGTCTTCTACTTTGTCGAGAGTTATGATAGCTCAGTGTCCGGGCACTCGCCTTTAATTCAATATACTCGAGCAACCTGAGTTCGATCCCCGGTCCCGGCACCAATTAAATTGTTGATTTTAAGTCCTGACTTATCACGTGCTCTGCGGTGAAGGACAACATCGAGGGGAAACCTGCATATTTTCCAAATAATAACAAAAAAAAATAATTCGAAGATATGTGAAGTCTACCAATCCACAATGGGGCCGTGTGGTGGACTATGCCCTGATACCCTCTATATATTGGAGGCCTTTGCACAGCAGTGGGACATGTATAGGCTGTTACTTCACTTATTTTTACTTCTACTTTGTGATGTGCAGAAACAATTTTTTACTGCGAATTGAATTAAGAAGTTTCAAGAGTATAAATGAAAATTTATAGAGCATCGAATGTTTGAGACATCTTCAAAAGAATTGTATGAAAAAAGAAAACTTTTTATGTGAGATGGTGTCAAGCGAGCTGGTATATCACCTGATATGAAGTTTTGACCGGCGCCCATGGTCATTTGCAACTCTGGTAGGGTTGCAGATGCGTTTGTCACCTTTTAATAAAGTGGGCCCCGGCTACCTCACTCACAGTACAACACTTCCCCTTCACGCCACTTCTGTGAGGTCGTGGTACTTACCCGCAAGGACCTGCCCATTCGTGCAACAGCCAAAGCTGTTGCGTGGCCCTACTACCGTAAAACTGTCTGTACACTAACACCTACTGGGTTTGTTTGGCATCTTTTATAATAATACGCAATGTCAATTATCTATATATATTAAAAACAAGAAGAATCCATCAAAATGAGATATTAACAGACATATTCTTTAATGAAAATCATAAATCAAAAAAACATTGTAAGCATCGCGAGAGTAAATACATGAGCAATTCCGGTGAATCGATTTGCTGTGCTCTTAGGAGGAAGGTTTTCAACAAAGTTCGCCACCTGCTGAGCTTGTTCTAGAACCTGTGTACTTGCGTACTCTGTCTCCAAACTGGCCATGTCCTGCTGTTCTTGGTCCTCCTGCTTTGCCTGCCAAACAAGAAGTAGCAGCCGTTACATGTCCCACTGCTGGGCAAAGGCCTCTATACAGAGGGTATTAGGGCATGGTCCAAAGCAATAAGAAGTATTCTCTGGTTCTCATAGACCGAGAAAGTGCTTTGGCGCTAAAATTCATGTTGATCCGTTGCTCCACCATTTGAGTTTTTTTGTGGTCTTTCAAAATATACAAGAGAGATTAACCAATAAATTTCTATTAGGTTTCCAATATCTTTTGAGATCTACTTACAACTTCTTCCCCACTGGAACGTGGCAATTTGGCAAGCACATCTGCGGCCCCGCTTGGCTGTGCTTCGGTGGTCGTTTGCCTAAGCTATAAGCAATGTAATAAAAATAAATATTATCCTTTTTATAGAAGTTTAAAACAGCAACATTACACATATTAATTAAGTTGAACGTTTCTTTATTTCCACACCCACATAATCGGAGAACTCGCAAAGAAAAACACAGCATCATCCTGAATATATGAAACGCAGAAGCGAACTTCATTTTCCTAAATTCATAGAAATGGCTAGTACAAAGTTAAAAAACCTCCTTTAAATCGAAACTCACATACCTCATGCAGGTCACAAATTAAAACGGTTTAGCTAAAATGAAAAACTAATTTAAAAAATAGGGCTTCCGTATATATTTTAACCACCAACACGTCTATTGTATCAACTTTTCTACTAATTCCATCAACTTGGAAGCTTGTTGGTGTACTTACTAAATCTACATAATAAATTACCTTCTAAAAACCAATGGCAAACTTATCTCTTTATTTTGCACAAAAAATACACGGTAATCTAAAACAAACAAAGTTTCGTTATCAATCATTGTAATTTGTTGCTTAATTCTGAGTGAGAGATACTATGTGGTACGAGATATACTATGGATAGGTTGAGACTAATATTAAGGCCAAAGAGAAAACTACCGATTGTGGCGCGCATAGAAATTGAAACTATAAATTACTTTCACCTTGAGGTCTCCTCGTCCTGAGGTCTTCTTCTGGTAAATGTTGACGGGAGTGATGTTCTGTATGAACTCCTCCATTATGTAACGTGCCCTCGCCACCACCGGTTCCAGCACGCGCAGATGTTTCGCTATATCCATTGGCTTTGTTGTCGCCAGATATTCATTCACCTAAGCGCACCGTTAGTGTAAACCGAGAGTTGACAATAACCAGATCCCTAGAATTGCGTACACAAGGTACACCCGCGTTCCAGGGCGGTTCTCACCGTTCCCGGCCACCGATTAGCTAATTGCACTGTCGACGGCCATCGGGGTCTCGGTCCGAACCGCGACCTCGATGGCCCTTAGATGACACACTATAGTTAAAAGCACGCATGAGCACATGCGCGACCTACCCACAGCGGAGGGCCCAATCCCGTGGGTTCTGGCTAGCCCACCGGTTCTGCGTCAGATGAAGCTTTAATAGTCTCGGGACTGAAAGCACAAACATCAGTTAATACAAAAAGAGTTAGCCTAAAGAACATATATATCCAATTAGAAATCTAAGGGATCAACATCATTCACTTGGCAACTATTATAGATGGAGGGATGGTTTCTATGTTTTTCATGCTGCTTGTAGCTTAACCATACAACAACTAGTATTTTTGCTAATAAGTTCGTTTGCCGTGATAGCTCAGTGTCCGGGCGCTTGCTTTTAATTCAATATACTTGAGCAACCTGAGTTCAGACCCCGGTACCGGCACCAATGAATTTATTAAATTTAAGTGCTGACTTATCACGTGCTCAGCGGTGAAGGAAAACATCGTGAGGAATCTGCACATTTTCGGAATAATAACAAAAAAAAATATTTCAAAAATATGTGAAGTCCGCCAATCCGCAGTGGGGCCGCGTGGTGGACTATCTTAATATAATAACCTGCCTACAGAGCAACGCACAGCATAACAGAGGAGGTCAAAGCACATCATATAATCTCTATCTTTTAAGTTGTTAGTACACTTAGAACGGTAAAATTAAACAAAGTCAAGACGATTGACTATATGAAGTTGTACAATGAACTATTTTAAAGGTCAAATGCTATGAATGATTTTGTGTATTCAAATGTATACGTTTATATGAAAATACTTGTTTTCAATCTGAATAATAATACAAATTGCTTCATGTCGTTATTATTACATACCAAACGTTTTAGTTCAGTCGTAACAAAGTATCAACACTTACCTTGCTAAGAGGGCACCAACCATTATTCGTCGTCGTCGTTGTGTCTGTGACTAGCATCCATACTATCGCCAGGATCCTCGGGAAGGAGACGTGGGGCTCGCCCATCATCATCGTCGGCGTCTTCACCAGTGACTCCAGGTCCGGTTCGGAGTCCAGCATTGAGGTTTCCACCAGCATTTTCGATCTCACAAGGACTCGAATCAAGTCCGGCACCAAAACTCCATCGTCGCCTTCTAGGTTTCTGCGAACAGTTTTTCTATTGACAACATACTACAAACACATTTTGATATGTTTATAAATACTAGGTACATACAAATGTTATTAATTCTTAAACCTTAAAATAAAATGGGCCCCGGCTACCTCACTCACCTGACGAACGCAGAAGTGTAACACTTGGACTTTACGCCGGTCTTCTGTGATGTCGTGGTACTTAACCGGACGGACCTGCCTATTCGTGCAACAGTGAACACTGTTGCGTGGCCCTAACACAGTTTGTTAGCCGAACCGTACATAGTACTTAGTAATTAAAAAGTACATAGTAATTTCATGAAAGATTATGGAGATATTATGCCCCATACAAATGCTAAACACCTTAAAGATCATCCTGATTTTTTTTAATAATATGAAAATTTGCAGAAATTAAAAAGTAGCTGTAAAATTAATAAAACTTTCAGTAGTTTATGTAAATATCAATGCATGAATTATTATCTGCCCCAAATTTTGAATATTTGCAGTATTTTAGTTGTTATTAAGAACCCAGATAATATAACATTGTGATGTAGAAACGTTTTAAGAGCCAAATTGAACAAGGGGCCATTAATTAAGCTTCTCTTGCATAATTAACTACTAATACTTGACCGGAATGGAATGGAAGCCAAGAATAGCGCGCCGTAACTATGGCTTAGAACCTGATATATCTAAACTCGGCATACAGTGAGACATTGTACCAATAAAAGTTCCACTCTATAGATGAAAGTACAGGAAATCTTCAGCAAAATATGGATATTTCCGATAAGGACAGAAACATAACATAATCAATTACCCCTCACTGGACCAGAATTCGCGACAGAAGCTGACAAATACAAGAATAAAGGACCTACTTAAGCAGTTCCAACATCAGCTTAGCCACCTTCCCTGATGAGGGCTTCGGGTAATTTATGCACTCCGTGGTGATGATCCTAGAGGGGGCGGAGGGCTCCGTCTCGTAGGCGGCTACCAGCTCGCGTTGCCTCGAGTCCTCGGCGGCCAGCCAGTCCAGGGTCAGGGCGGAGCGGTACGCCAGGATCCCGGACATCGTCGCGCGCGAAACGTTACCCGGCGCGTAGTAATAGTCCTCCGCGCGGACCTCGAGAGGGGCAATAACAGATATAAATGTAATTACTGTGATAGCTTCGCTGTTGCAAATGGGCGGGCTCATCGGGGGAACGCAGGCTGGCCTGCGCGCGGAACCTTCCCCCCTGATAGTGAGACCCTGAGAGGCATGGGGGTGTGTGTCGCTCAATATAGGGCTCGTGACGTGTGCTGTGCCAATTGCGCCGGCACGGCACCATGTAGTAGAGGAGGCCTAAAAAGGCCATAGCCGCGCCGGGGTCGCGGAAGATTGCGTCCACGTGTTCCCGTGTCCCCGGCCGATGCGACAGAGACAGGTGCAACAAAAAATAGGCTCATCGGGGGAAAAACGACGACCTCACAGAAGGCAGGCGCGAAGTGAAATTGTTATACTCCCGCGTTGCATCTGGTGAGTGAGGTAACGGGGAACCAATTTTCTAATATCGGCATCGTGTCTACAATCCGTCAGGTGCTGCAGATGTCCACGGGCGGCGATAATCTCTAAAGATCAGATAAATCTCCTGTTCGTTAGTCAACTTATAACACAAAAAAGATTGCCTAAAATCCTCGCAAAAGAACACCGATTCCTCCCAAGGATGATTCGCGAGGCTATTGAAATAAAGAAACATCCTAATTTCAATAGGGAAGATGGTTGTTTATGCAGATGGCTTGGGATCCCATAATTTCTAAAACTAAATCCAAGCACAACAACACTGCCAGATGTCAAAATACCATAAGCTCCTTTTGCGTAGATCGGAATAAAAATAAACAAAATAACTGACAGTAGCCGGGGTTAACTATGACATCAAGACGTATAACAACTTAGTTTGTCCCGTGACCATGAATGCTGGAAAGGGTTCAAAACGTCAGAAAGTTCAAATCAAAATAAAAACGCGATAAAATCCGTAAACATACTTTCATTCAATATGTATAATATTCGCGTAAAATCAAGAAGTCAATATGTGAATACCATTGCCGTTAAACATAAAACATTATACCTAAAACAATTTTTTTAATAATTTATTTCAAAATAATACAATCTCGACTTTCGATTAATTTAATGCTGAATCTGCATTAAACACTAATCTCATTCCCCGCGTTTGTAAATAAATGAACGCTAAACGGCAAAGTTTTATGATACGGACCGTTCGAAATTCCAATTATATTGCGTTCATAAAAAAAAACTTTCCCAAAGAACAATCTTATATTGTGAAAGTAACAGAGTTGTTTTTTAGTTTTACTACACGACTGAAAAGAATAAAAATATATTAGTCAGTTTAAAACTTTGTTAATGACTTATTATTAAAAAAGTATGTATATAAAAAAGTATCCTTGTAACCTTTTCGACTAACGGCACAATCACAGACAGGTAAATATTTTTGCCGACCCTTGCAACGACTGACGATCAAATCTTAAATAAGCAAACATGTATACACGCGTGACTAAATCTTAGAGTAAAGAAGTTTATGAAGTCCTGAAAAATGAAAGAATAGTCGTCATCAAAAAGAAGATATTTACGTTGTACACAAATGTTACCATCATAATATTATGATATTAAAAGAAGCGCAGTGCAAAAACTGGACAAAACTTTTGTCAAGTTTAATTTCGAATAAAAAAAATGAAGATACAAATTTTAATATATCCCTTGATTAATAAAAAAAACTTTAAAGACATCAGTTGCGATAAACAGAAGCAAAATTAATTTTAGGCAAAAGATTTTGTCTTCATTTCATAAATTTCCATCGTAAAAATGCTAAATGACCAAACCCAAAACAAGGTGTAAGCGGCGAGGACTTTATTACAAGTATAAATATTTCGGAGCACCAATTTGTTTCCAACAAAACTCGGCTCAAAGGCAATTTTCTTAAATTTAATTAAAACCGACTAGATTTGATATTTAGACGTAGAGCATTAATCTTGCGAGAGAAGTGTAAATTCTGCAAAGCTTTCCAAAAATGAACCACCGACAGTTATATTATGACCGTTAACGATTTGTTTTTTTCTAACAATGGCGGCTATGTTAAATGGAATAAAAGGTTGGATTTTGATATTTACAATTTTAATACAATTTATCTTATATATTAATTAAAAATTCGTACTAACAGAAGCTAACAATATAGACTTATCTGCATAATAAAAATTAATGAACATTTAACAGGTATAAATTTCTACAATAATAATATTTCACATTCATTTTCACACGATGGGCATAACGGATCGCAAGGAAAAAAGATTTTTTTTGTTCTTGAGAGTCACACACAGCAGGTGCTAGAGCGGAATTACTTACAGTGAGTTTCTTGAAAATATGTGATTATAAAGACGATATTATTTTTGTATATTCTTACTGTTGAATGTACCTGTATGAGCTGAAACGAGCTTAAATTTTATTAATTACTAATTATAAGTATTAAATGTTATTAAATCATTTTTATTACTCTTTGCATTACCTTCATATAATAGGCATTTAGGTTTATTTTTGGTGGATTTTGTGTTCAGTCCTGGTAATCCGATATTTTCTTCAATAATAACAAACCCTAGACTGGGAAATAAATCTAGTGAATAGTTAAAAGATTTCACTTTCGACATAGCGAAAAAGACAACGTGTACATTGGGAAAACGATTGGCCATCCAACAGCATTGGATATTACAGTTACAAAACTTAGGGGTTTAAATTTAAATTTAGTTGCGCAGTTAGAAAAATGTATACGACAACTTTAACTAGGGTGAAGTGATATAGATCCCCTTGGTGACATATCGTAAGAGTTGCTCGACCCTTGTATTTTTAATGTATGTATAACTTACACTTATATAGATTCTGTGCTTGAATATTGGATTAGTTTAAAAATACATATTATAATAATAGATAACTCTGTATCTTCGCCTTGGCATAAATAATATAAATTATTATGTTATTTATGACTTAGTCATTTCACCCAGTTTTACCAGTTTTTTTATCCAGTTTTTTCATCACTTTACACTTTTTCTCGTGAAAAAAAATTACGTGATATTCGACGAAAACCCTTCTCCTCCAGGTGATCGGGCAAGATTCTACCTCTCCATCCCTCTCTCCCCACTCAATACCACGCGTAATTAAGAAGATGTAAGCGATAAATAATTATTCATCGATTAGATGAAATTAATAAAATGACCGGTGAAGAAGTCGCCCAGCATGGCCCCTTTTCTCCATAACAACAATATCGATTTTAAATTCCGAATGGCCATGGTTGTGGCCAAAAAATCCTGCTTCAACCTGCAGAAGCAGCTTTACATGCTCGAAGCGCAATATTGAATGACGTCATAACAATAAAAAATGCGTCCACAATTTGAACGCATGTTAGTGCCAAAACTTAGACCAAATTATCATTATAGTACATGCACCAATTGTCAGATCCGTCCGAGGAAGTACCATGTCCTCACAGAAGACCGGCATGAACTAAAAGTTATACTTCTGCGTTTCTTCTGGTGAGGTAGCAGAGGCTCAGTTTATTAAAAGGTGGCCACGCATCTGCAACACTACGGGTATTGTCACTTAACATCAAGTGAACCGCCAGCTCGTTTTCCACCTTCAAGCTAAATCTTTGACAAACGACAATTGAAAATATGATCCGACGAAACGACGACATCACGATCCGACATCCTCCAGACGAAATGAATAAGTATAACATTTCCTAGTTATTTTTTTATGAGACCGTGGAACTTGTCAAGGTGAGCCTACCTATTCGTGCAGCGTGGCTCTACCCCTACCCTAAGTTACGATTTAAACAGATCTCAACGCGCCAGTGGGCTTTTTCCCGTTAAAGAGACACCCGTTTTGACGCCATTAAATCGACAAAATTGGCGTTGCTCCATTTCGACTATCAACAATATAACATTACGTAACGCCTGCCCTATTAGATCTTTACTAGCTCAAAACAAATTAGCAAGCTAAAAGCAGTTGCTTTCTATTCATTTTATAAATATTTTATCATTTTCAGTTTCTGAAACTCGCAAACAGAGTTATTAAAATCTTTTAATCGCTTTCACTGCTGAACATTGGCCTCCATCGACTTCCCGCACTCTTGCACAGGTCGTCACTCTTTTCATATTATGAATATTATAAAAATTCATACTTACCGCTGCACAAACAAAGAGGGCATAAAATAACACTGAAGAAATCATTATAACTTAAAATTTAACGGTATTAACTAAGAATTCATTCTGACAGTCGTGACGTCAAGAACTATCAAAAATCGTTTTTACAATTTGATCATGTTTTAGAACGTAAACTGTTAAGGTACTCAGTAAGTCAAAAATATAATAAAATCAAATTTTTGAGAAATTCTCACAAGCCCGTAAACTTTTGTATGCAAAAGCAGGCTATACGGGCTGCCTGTGGTTTGAGTCCATGTGAGTAACTACGGCATCTTTTAACAAATAAACGTTTTAACGTCGCTGTACATACTTGAGAACATTATTTGTGTGTACGGCCTAATATCCATCTTTTTAAAAAAGCACATATCACATTATGTCGGGGCCGTGTTGACAGGTAGTGAACCGGTGGTAATTTAGTATAAACGGAACGTTCATATATTATTCTGAAACGAAACATAAAAGAGTAACAAATTCACTAACTTAATATAGAATGAAAAAACATTTTAAATAATGAATAGAAACTTCATTACATGCTATCTAAAGAAACTAGCCCTCGTGGCATGGTGCCAATAACGCTGCAGTAAAATTCTTTGACTTGTTGTGCTTAACCTTGATAGAAGATTACCCTGGGACCGCTAATCAAAAAGCCACAGGAATAATATAAGTCCATTGGTGAGCATGGGAATGACTTTCATGCCAAAGATAACATTAGTTTCCAAATGTAAAGTGACAGCCAATTATGTACCTCTGCTAAGCAAAGGCCTCCTCCGTACAGAGGTTATTAAGGCATAGTCCACCACGCGACCTCACTGCGGATTGACAGACTTGACATCGAAATATATCTTTTATTATTTCGAAAATATGCAGGGGTCCTCATGTTTTCCTTCACCGCTGAGCATGTGATAAGTCAGCACTAAAAATTAACAATATAACAACAAATAGTATACTGAATTAAAAGCGAGCGTCCGGACGCTGAGCTATAACGACTCTTACTCAGCTGTACTAGCTATTAAATAAAAAGACAAATTATTTTAAATATAGTTATATTACAAATATATTTCATATACATACATAATTCATACAAAATCAACACTTATTCTAAATGAGTCATCAAAATATCAGACCTTCAGTAATTAAAATTACCAAGAGGTACATTTTATTACATTTTAAAGGACCACAGTCAAGCACCATATTGATATGACATGATTATGTCATTAAAAACACTCCAAAAAAATTAACTTAATCTTGCTTCCAATTAATCGGGAGCTAAGTGCTGTAAACTATTGTTACATAGCTTTTTCAACTGCCATAAATATTATTAAAAATATTGATTCACATTTATTACAAAAATTTCACATTGAAACTCCCTTCATGCATGCCCATTTTGCACTCGCAATCGATTTCATTCTGCATCAGTCATCACCTTAACATTTTACAATAAAAAATCTTAATTTTTTTATATAAAATGTATGAAAAAATTACATTATATTTGAAAAGTCGTGTATTATAGGGATATCTAACACTTAAAATATATTATTCAGCTCGACACAAATACAATCAGAAGCTGCTATCAATATGTTAAGATTGTTATAGTGATAGTATCTGCGCTTAAGATGAAACATTAGAATTTCTAGAAAAAAGTAAGAAAAGAAATCGAAGGCACGACTTCTGGATTCGCGCCAAGAGCTTTAACCACTAAGCTATACAGCAGATTGTCATACCGACGAAAATCTCAAAGTCCTTATCTACATTGTATTTCGCATTTTAAGCAATGCTTGGCGCATCTACAAATTTTAAAATTAAAATTTGTCCAAATTCGCATTTATCTTTAAGTAATTATGTCCTAAAGGGACATTTTAGTACTTGTCAAAACACATGTTCTCACAAATTTTGGTCGAGTCTAGCTGTGTTCCAAAATATTGTTAAGAACTTGAAAGACATAACATACATATTTTAGCTATATTAGACTAAAAAATTGTGATCACATGATTTACAATATCCAATTTGGACAGTATGTAATCTCTAAATTTATATGCACTCCCATTTGACTACTTTGTTAGGATTTATTTAGCTAGACTTGGTCCATTACATTCCGTTGTAGGCCGGACCACCGCCCCCTTCTGGCACCACCCAATTGATGTTTTGCGATGGATCTTTGATGTCGCATGTCTTACCTGTAAAATAATGACAAGAATGCTTATATGTCACAGTAATCAACTTCAAAGGTTTTGGGTTCTAAGATACTTTTTAGAATATCTGTTATTAATGGTAAAATATTTAAGTTGGATTAGAAAGTACGATAAAAATGAAAGATTAAGCTGTTCTCCGTTTATACAAAATTAAATAAAACATTTCCAGATTCTAGATTAAATAAAGATTTCGATTTATAATTTTGTTTATGGTTTTATACTAACTTCTAAGTTTTACTAACTATATACGAATGTTAAGCTAAAATATAACTATTATTAATTAGATTGAATACAAATTTCACAAAACAATTTATTATTTGATATAAACATAAATAATAATAAGCTATATGAAATATCATGCAATTTTTTTTTCATATGAGAAGGTGGCAAGGGAGCTAGCGGTTCACCTGATGTTAAGTGATAACCGCCGCCCAGGGACAATTACAACGCCACCTTTTAATAAAGTGAGCCCTGGCTACCTCACTCACCAGAAGAAAAGAAGTTTAACACTTCCACTCCACGCCGTTCTTCTGTGAGATCGTGGTACTTTCCCAGACGACCCTGCCCATTTGTGCAAAAAAGGAAACTGTTTCGTGACCCTACTTTAAATTTGAATAAACAATCGTTTTTTGTGAAAAGTAATTAAATAAAATTTCACAAAATTTGAACTAATGAGAAAAATAATAATACTTTTATATTCGTACTGTTTAATGAATTATTGAAACACTTACAGTGAATGCAGTTTTGTGCGTTAATTTGTAATCTCTGCCCATCACCGGTCTCTAATGGTACATACTCATATACACCTGTAATGCATAAACAAAAATCCATCAATGAATGAATTTTGGCATATATAATTATAACTTTTTATTTTCGTTTAAAAGAATAATCACGATTAAAAAATATCTTTTTATAATGATAGTTTAAACGGGAAATGTAGACTTTGGCATTTATAATTATTGGGATAGCTTTTTTTTCGTTTAAAAGAATAATCTCGAATAAAAAATATCGTTTTATAACGATAGTTTAAACGGGAAAAGTGAAGAGATTTTATTGTTTTATGTAAAGTGCTAAAGATGGCATTATAAGAATTTAAGAGACATCAAGTGTTTCAACGGATAACAAGTTTAAAGCTTGACCATGTCTCAGAAGGAACCACAAACCATATATTTTTTGAATGTCCTAAACTATCAACATCATTGTATTATTCCCTTCTCCCCTACATCTCTCGTCCTATTAATTTTTCCTCCTTTTAACTTTCACTAATACACCATTGTATATATTCTATGTGACTTTATTATATGAAATAAAATTAAACTTTGATGGATTCAGGGTACATGTCAACTATAACTGTATGTCTTTGTTCTAGGTATTTCAACAGAAAATTACTTAATTTCTTTTTTCTTTTCTTGTTGTTTACAATTTTTTTTTAATTCCCTTATATGATCTCTTATACCTCTGCCATGCCGAATCTGTTTGATAACCAATCCACTTAGTAATATTCCTATATTTACGTGGACACTGGCGAATACCTAAAAACCGCCATAAAACGAAAAAGAAGAAGAAGACCATGACTCCATAATTTACCTGCGGGACAGAACCTCGCTTCTGGGCCGTCGAAAACGCCGAGATTCCTCTTCACGGGCACAGTGTCATCTTTCAATGTCAAATGAGGTGGCTGATCGGATTCGTGATTTGTGCCTGCATCATAAAAAACCTCAAAGTAATTCAAATTAAAACCAAATTAAATGCAAGTAAACTTCTGATTAATGAGATTAGATTTTATGTAAAACTTTTATAAATTCAATTCTCACAAGTTTAAGAATTGTCTAGATTGTTAGGATTTTCTGACGTCTGCTGTTGTGGGGATATCACGGAAAAACTACTAGAGGGATTTCAATTAACTCTTCTATTTACTATTTTGTAGATACTTGACCCTCGTCTAAAAACCTCTTTAGTGATATCTACATATAATGTAAAACTATTAAAAATTTTATAAGTACTATACGTTTATTGATTTTTTTCTTGCCACGAAGAAGTGAGTCAAGTGGTGTAATTAATGGTGTTGTTAATATAATAAGCGAGTATCAGCTAGTAGCGTAATAATAGAAGTCTACACCAATATTGACGTCATTTTAGTGTGATAATGTATGGTATATGTCAGTATTTTATGAACTTACCCGTCAAAGCAACCGATGACAGTAAATCAAAGGTGACAACCCCATCAGGCTTGGGATATTCTATGGGCTGACATTCCTTTGCTGGCTTAAGTTTGGCATGATCAGCACCTGTAAAAATTAACCTGTATTGTACTATTATACCAAAGTAACAGTTAGACAAATCATGACTCTCACTGTATAGGCACTTTAAGGGCTAATGTGTGGGCAAAAAAAACAGGAAAGAAATTAGACTCCAATGAAGAACGGAAATATCTATAATAAAGCAACTATTATAGTCAATATTTTTGTATGAAGATGAGAATGGTCAGGAAATACAGAAATATATATAATTAACTTACTATAATAGTGAATATAATATATTTTTATTTCTGAGAATGGTGGCTAACTTTGGCTAACCATGGTGACTATATTTGTTTATTGTTGATTTCATTGGCTATTTCCATTTAAGTAGCTAGAATTATGGACATGAGAGTGTATTTTCATACAAAGGTTAAAATTTACATTTTATTTGCTAATCCTATTTTAAGTTTATCCTTTTTTTCTTTTAAAGTATTATACTTTCAGATTCCATCTGATGAGTGAGGTTCCAAGAACACAATTTTCAGAATGATGTAAGTATCCATGCATATTTGCCAATGTGTTTTAATAATGAAAAAAAATACAGACAATAAAACATTAATATAGATGATACAGATAATCAAGTATTTCATCGGATGACTTATCAAGTTCAAACCTTGACCATGATACCATCATTTACCTGTGAGATGATGAGAACAATGCCGAACGATCAATCTGATCATCGGCGATCTCTATTTTCCACAATCATTAGAGGAATGCAAATGTACAATTATTTCTACTTAGTTCTGGTCCCCTTTGCGAGTCTGGAGCCTTTGGAGCTGTTGTATTTGAGATGAAACAAATGTTTCTTAGCTGTACTGCACTAAAATAATTAAAAAAGAAAGTAATTAACTTACCCCCATGGCTAAGAGTCCAAGGTTCCTTGCCACGAACCAAAGTAGAGAAGGCAGAATATGCAATGCCTCCATACATTCCCAACTTGGTGTGAAATGATGGACGACAGTTGCGCACTTGCTGGGAAAGAATATATTTATTTTAAGTAAAAAAATAAGGTAAATGATAATTTATTGTATTTACGCGCTTACACATTAAAAATAAATATAATTTTACAAATTTAAATTTTCTCTGCATTTAAGATTAAACATTAAGTAATTATTTCGTCGGTGAGGCAATCAGCCGTTTAGCTTAGTGGCTAAAGCGCCAGGCCGCGAATGCCGAAGACGTGGGTTCGATTCCCACAGCGGTGACAATCTTTTCGTACTTTTTCTACAAATTTAATAATTTTACGAGTTTATCTCGTTTAATTTTAATTACCGAAGTTTCGAATCCTTTACCACGTTCATGATCACGTGACAGACTTAAAAAAAAATAAACGATATAATTCCGTAAAATTGGTTTCATTTATAAATGTGCCAACTACTCTAGCCACTAAGCGGTCGACACTGCGCGAAACTCTCTTCTACTTATCTGCTTTGTTTTTAGTGTTCCGTACCCAAAGGACAAAGCGGAACCCTATTATTAAGACTCCGCTGTCTGTCTGTCTGTCTTTCTATCTGTCTGTCTATCTATCTGTCTGTCTGTCTGTCTATCTGTCCAACTCGCACTTGGCTGGTTTTTGTTTCATGCTTAGCAATGCTTGGCGTTATCTAATGTGCTTCCTTCACAGCAAATACTTTCCCAAGTACAAATGATACAATGAATATTCGAAGCCTAGAGATGTCGCCATTGCTTTTGAAATTAAATTTTTCGTCTCTGCACTTAAGGAGTAATTTACTTAAAATATTTAGATAAATGGGCAAAAATTGTTCACCACTACAAGGATTCGAATCTGCACCTTCCGAAATATGCGTCCAGAGCTTTAGCCACTAAGCTAAGCGGTCGACATCCTCACCGCACCGCAAGTATCTCGACGTACTTTTTAAGCAATGCTTGGTGTCCATCAACTAAAATGCTAATTATAAATTGAACTTAAATTTTCATAGATGATATTGTATTTTAAAAATAAATCCTAAAATACATCTCAGAATCTTGCAAAATATATTGATCAAAAAACTCTAGTTAAGTTTATAGAAATTATCAGTATACGGCTTTAAGCTGGGTTTTAAGATTTTTGTTTTTCCCCCCCTTTTTTTTATGTGAAAAGTTGCCAAGCGAGCAGACGGGTCACCTGATGTTAAGTGAATACCGCCGTCCATGGACATCTGCTATACCCGAGGGTTGCAGATGCATTGACAACCTTAAATTCCCCTTTATAGTTTGTGCTTTTTATTTCTCTTTTTATATGTGTATGGTTGTGTCTCATTACTAAAGACAGTGTATTATTAATGTCGTGTTTTGTTCCTCTCTTTACAGGTACGCAACTGAAAGTGGTTTAATACAGTAGTTTGTTATTGTCATGTTATTGGCAAAATCACTGACGTATCACTGGATATTGATCAAATATGATGTCAATACCTTTAACTCCTTATAAACATATGATTCCTTCAGCTTATCTTCATAAAGTGTTGGTACAACACCCTTGTCATGAGACGCCTCGCCAGACAATATCAGTTCCATTGCTGATTCGGCTGCCAACATACCTGCAGTAGAGTATATTAACCTTCATTAGGAATTCTTATGAAGGTATTGGTCGTAAATAGCAGAAGATTGTTCTTTTGCTTTGATTTTAAGATAATCCTTTTTATTTCACTTTATTTGTCTACTTTTGAAATATATAAGATTAGAATTATAAAGAATTAGACTCGAAAGCGGCTGAACAATAATAACGACATAACAACAAATCATACACAGTGTAGTCTATTATGTTATGTTTTAAAAGTACTAAAAGTGAAAATTATCTCATAACAATTTTATAACAAGTAGTAGTATCTCACATAAGTTTCAATTAAGAAAAGCTGCAAATTCAGTTTAGGCGTTTTCGTGAAATGTGTTAATGTGATAATCCTGGCACGGGTAACAATGATTATGATTTGTGTTTAAGGGGTTGGGTACCAAGTCCCAACGAACCAAGAACCTAGAAGATCTATTGTAGTCTTCCCTGCGAAGATAGATAACCTCCTCCAATCAGACAACCTTAACAAAGTTGATGGTCAATGAGGAGCTAAGAGTCTGGGCTTCATGGATGCCAACTTGAGCATTCTCAAATCCCGAATGCTTATATTGACCAGGGCATTACATTCACAAATTAAGTGTTTACTGTCATCACCGCTGAATCTACAGAATGGGCTCTCCGATAGTGCCATTTTGACTTCATCATCATAATGAAAGGTAAAAATTTATAATTACCCTAGATTTACATATGTTACTGAATATCATGGTTAGGTATGTATATTTATGGTTTCGGATGGATTTTGATGACCTACCACTCTTCATGGCGTTGTGTGTCCCTTTGATGCGTGGCACGTTGAGATAGCCGGCCGTGTCTCCTGCCAAACAGCCGCCAGGAAACACTGGCACTGGCAGACACTGCCAACCGCCTTCCACCAGCGCCCGAGCCCCATACGCCACTCGGGCACCACCTACATAATCGAACAATTGAAACATTTCTAGTAACAAAAACAAAATGGGATGGACTGAGAAATTAGACCAAAGATATTATATAAAAATACAAGATACATATGACACTATCGCACAGAAACCGAGGTACTCAAATGACGCCACTTAGTGTAATTAGATTGCAATTCTATAGACTGCTATCTCTTTCCATATATGTTCTATATCATCTGTCACATTCACTTATATATGTCATATAAAGTGAAGTGGAAAAATTTTTTATACGCCACGCAGACCATCTGAGACCATCTGACTAACATTACACAACTGTGTAACATACCTACCCATGCTACCGCCAGTTTTTACAAGTACAGAATTAACAAAAAAGAGACGTCGAATATCTTTCTCACTACACATTTTAGAAGAAGAAGAAGAAACGTTTATTCACGGTCTAAGCTCAATAGATACAAAGAACACTTAAAAATAATAATGTAACTACACATTATGTAAAATAATATTAGAATAACTTAAAATAAATGTAAACATAACAAAAAACTAAAAAATAATAATAATAATAATAAGTGAAGGTCTGTGTAGCAGCATAAGACCGTGAAACGGACGGGACTCGGTAAAAGTCGAGATACAGTAACTAAGATTCGTTCTGATCCCGACGCCGGTTTTCAGTCCGCCCGCACTACGAGACAACTTCGGACGGCTGCGTCAGTGCACTTGTAATACATACCTACAACGCAGTATAGCGATAATTAAATTATTTTTGTTTGAACCTTTAAATTATATAGACAGTGGATATCATTCGTCTGAAGAGGTAAGTAAAAATTAGAACTAATGTTTTCTTATTTGATATTGGTGTCAGCTGCTTTTTTTCCATTTTGGTTTTAGGTTACCAATTATTTGCCTTGTTCGTGATAACAGACGTGGGCCTAAGAGAGAATCCGCGTAATTGAATTTTGAGAGAACGAGAGATTCGCATAGATTGATACGTAAGGAAACACTTAGGTAATCACGAATACGATAGAGTACTTTCAACCTGTAAAAGCAGTTACGTGCAATACCCATAATATGCTTCTCAAAACGCAGCTTGTCGTCCATTATTACCCCCAAATTTCTGACTTCCGCCACTCTTACAATGGATTCGTTGTTTACGGTAATGGCAGGGTGACTTAGTATGATCTTCTTTATTTGATTTGGCGATCCTAGAATCATATACTGAGATTTCTTCGGATTGAGAACTAGTGCATTACGCTCTGACCACAAAGATATCCGACTTAAGTCCAAATTTAACTTTGCTACAGCTGAGTGAACATCACGAGGCTTAAATGAAATATATATCTGTAAATCGTCAGCGTACATATGATACTTACAAAACTCAATATTTTTAATAAGATCTGCACTATATATTATAAAAAGTAATGGACCTAAGATGGATCCCTGTGGTACACCTCGGTCTACAAGTCGCTCTCCAGAGATACTTTTGTCCTTTCCACTTGAGTGCATTTCAACCCGTTGTGACCTATTTTCAAAGTAACTAGCAAACCAATGAGTTGCGCTTCTACTAATTCCATAAAAATATAATTTGGACAGAAGTAATGGAATATTTAGGGTTTCAAACGCGCGTGAGAAACAAGAAGCGTTAAAATTGTACCTTCCCCACTCGCCTGTGCGGTCAATATATCATCTACGACCGCTATAAGCGCAGTGCTGTGCTTTTTTCGGAATCCAGACTGCAACTTAGGAAGGATATTATTTGATTCAAGGTACTCTGTTAGTTGATTACATGCAAGCGTTTCAATAACTTTAGAAAGGCACGGTAGGATGCTAATAGGCCTAAGATCCGACATATAAACAGGGTTACTAGTTTTAGTTATAGGTTTCACGATTGCTTTTTTCCAGAGATCCGGGTAGGTATGTGTCGCAAACGATGTATTAATTATACGTGTTATTTCTGTAATAGCATCTTTAGGTAATAACTTTAACATATCAAGTGAAATGCCATCGCATCCCACTGCATTAGATTTTCTATTTGATTTCAAGGATTTCCCAAATGAAATTAATACTCCTACAATTTTTTAAAATCAGTTTGTAAGTGACGGAACATAGCAAACATTATAAAAACAACCAAACTGACAACCTCCTTTTTGAAGTCTGTTGAAAACACAGTAATGCCTGTATAGCCCCATAAGTTCCAGTGTTTCGTTTAGTGAATATGATATTTCTACAGACAACAATTTGTGTAAACATCAACTACTTTGAACCTATTAATTTATGTTTATAAAATCAGAATAAATCAATAACTCTTAATTTCTATCTATATCAAATGGAAATCATTTATATTTGCAGAAATTTAATGTTTTTATAATACCTATAAGTATTTTTAGAGTGAGTTAAAAGATAGATTAGAATATATTAATCACAGATCAACCCAACTTTGGGAGATTAACTAGAAAGTCATTTAATTTTATACATTCCTTAATTTTATAACACAACAGTGATTAATAAAACATGTGCAGATGATGATTTACCTTCAAACATTGGCTTCACATATGGATGTAGTTTAAACCTCTGGAACTCCCTAAAAGGGCTGAGATACGGGTTGACATAGTCCAGCCCGACCACAAATCCAACAGCTACTAAAGGCGCCTCGCCTTCCGCTGCGTTGAGGTGGTATATGAAAGAACCGCCATACGTATTCTTATCCAATGGCCAGCCTATTGTGTGCTCTACTAGACCTGGCTTGTGATGCTGCAGACAACATAGTAAGTTACGCAGATTATTCATGCATTTTGGGTATGTATTGTAACTAAGACTGATAGCTTTTGTTTTTCTGTTTATGTTCATGAAATTTTTAAGCAAATCCATAAAGTAGTAAAACTTAGGTCACACTAATAATAGAGTGGAAAATCATAATTTATTGATCAAAAAAAATATTGAAAAATTTACTGAACATAAAATGAACAAAATTGAACAAACAAATTGTTTTTACAGACTTTTAAGATATTAAATATATAGTATCTTATTACAATGATTTTGTTTTAACATACCTCTGGTTTTACTTCCCATAGCTCTTTCAATCCAATTCCATAAGACTGTGGTTCACTCTTCTCTCTTAAATTAAACTTACTGGACACCATTTTCGTCAAATGGCCGTGACAGCCTAAAATATTAACAACATTTTTTTCTACATACTTAATTTATTGTAACTAATGGTTAAAAATATATGAAATGTCAACTCAACATGAAATAAAATGTGATTTTAATACTAAAAATTTTAATTTTTTGAATTTATCCATAAAGTAAAAGTAAAGTAACAGCCTATACATGTCCCACTGCTGGGCAAAGGCCTCCTCTATACAGACTGAATCAGGGCATAGTCCACCACGCGGCCCCACTGCGTATTGGCGGACTTCACATATTTTCGAAATATATTTTTTTGTTATTATTTCGAAAATATGCAGGTTTCCTCACGATGTTTTCCATCACCGCGGAGCACGTGATAAGTCAGCATTTAAAGTTAAAAACTTACATTGGTGCCGGCACCGGGGATCGAACTCAGGTTGCTCGAGTATATTGAATAAAAGGCGAGCGCCCGGACACTGAGCTATCACGGCTCTCTCACGCAATTTATCCATAAAACTCATAAATTAAAAAAAATACATTAATCATAATAAATTGTATCACTAAAGCTATTTATGGCTCAAAAAAACATTGTTTTATAAATGCATGTATTTAACAAAGTTTTGTGTGCATTTATAAAACAATGATTGTTTGAACCCACAATACCCGTTGCCGAAGCCAATACCTTGCAACTGCACCACGGAGTCATCAAATATAATTAATATTAATATTTCAATAGCTATATAACAATAGTAATAAAAATAAGCCTTACCTTCTGCAAATATAGTTATTTTGGAATGGAACTCCATGCCCCTTTCAAACATATCTTTAGGGCTACCATCCTTAGCTATTCCAACATCTCCCGTAGCTACACCCTTAAGGGAGCCATCATCACGATAAATCAAGTCTGCCCCTGCACAGCCTGGCCACACCTTTAAAATATAGATTATAAAAGTAACTACTAAAGTACAGACTGTAAAATCAAGTTTCTAAGTAGACTATTAAATAGCTAAAAAATATGTACTTTTATAATAAAATGTAAGTACTTGGTTTTGTAGTGAATCTACAACTATGTTCAAATTTATCTAAAGTAAAGAAATAGCAAGTACTACTATTAAATAAAAAATAACCAACATGCAAATGAAATTACCAAATGTACACACATCCATTTCAGATTCACAGAGAGAAACATATCTTTAAAGAGGATATTTTAAAAGAATGTATTATATTTTATTTGCTGTTCTGAAATCTGAGAGAAATAAAGTTTTAACATGTTTTTAAACTCGCAAGAAAACATGAATGATATCTTTCAATAATTAACTCACCTCTGCTCCTAATGCCTCAGCCTGTTCCGACAACCATCTCACAAGGTGTCCCAATCTTACAACATAGTTGCCATGATTGTAGTTAGGTAGGCCTGTAATCAAAATAATACAGAGTAAACTTCTTATATGAACATTTATGTAATTCAAGATTTAGAAACAGTTCAACACTTTTGTTGATGAAAATATCCTTTTATTAATATATTAAATTTTAGAAAAGTAAAAGTGGTTAAGCTTTTATTTTAATGTTTAAAACATAAATAATACTAACAAGTAAAAAATAAATGTAGTATCATTTGGAACTTTATAATAAATGATTGTGAACATTTCCGGCATTTAAATTACTTTATAAAGGTAACTGACCTGCAAAAACTGGTATAGGAATTCTGCCTGTCTTTGTGAGCAAACCAAACTTATCAGATGTGACTGGAGTGTTTAGAGGTGCCCCCTTCTCCCTCCAATCGGGAAATAGTTCATTTAATGCAATTGGATCAACGCAGGCTCCTGATAGTATGTGACCTCCAATTTCTGCTGCTTTCTCTAACAAAGTAACTCTTACTTCCTAAAAAGAAACAAATAACAATTAGTAAATATAGTTTATTAATAGAATAATTAACATAGACAAATTAATTTAAGATTATTTATGACTCATACTGTCTTATTAAAAACTGGATTTGACTATTATCCTGCCTAATAATAGTAGTTGGTTGAGGAAGTCATAAATTTCATCTTGGCAAATGCAAATCAACCAGAGACTACTTTTTCTAGTTGTTATCGTAATAGATTTATAGATGAAAGAAGATTTTGGATATGTTTTGGTGGATTAATCCACTCAAATCATGATATCACAACTATCAATTTTTTTCACCAACATGGTGTTGTGAATAGTATAAGTAATAGTAAGTCTATCCATTGCCCCAATGGATGTAGGTTCAATCCCAGCTACATGAAAAATATTATGTAATGAACAGTGTTTCTAGTCACTCAGTATCTGTAATTTAACTGTGTTAGGGCCACACAACAGTTTTCTCAGTGAAGTGGTGTTATACTTCTGCATTACGTCTCGTAAGCGAGTTTTTCCCACTTTCTTAAGAGGTGGCAATGCAAGTGCGTAGAGTTGCAATTGTCCATGGGCGGGGGTTATCACCTAACATGAGATGAACCGCCAGCCACTTGCCACTTTCATACAAAAAAAAATATTTTAACAAAAAAATGTTTATCAGTTAGTAGCACTCGTAGTAATAAGAATTAAGAACACATAAATTTTACTATATTTTGTGCTGTTGGTGTACCTAATGAAATAAAAAAATAGTACAAGCTTTACGTAGATTGAAATTCAATAAAACATTGTGTAAAAATATGTCTTGTATTATAGTATCTTCCTTATGGCCAAATAAATGAGGTGAGAAGTGAAAATCATAATAACATAATGATCAAGTATGATAAAATGTATACTTATGTATTATGAATAATAAACAAGACCTACAGCCCCCTTCTCTTCGGCTATCTGTCTTGCTCTGATTGCTGCCGCCATTCCAGCTGGGCCTCCACCAATTATAAGAATATCTGTCTCCTCCGCTACTCGTTCCATATTTACTTCTGAAAATATGAATAAATATTCAAGCATTAATTTGAGTTACATTAAAATGAAATGTTAAATTTTAGTAACATGCAAGAAAAAAGAATATTTTATATTAGTTCATTAATTAATAACAAATTTAATATGACATTGTTAAGATTATAAAATTTAAGAAAAATGAGATATAACACTACTGATTTTTTTTGCATATTTAAGTAAATAAAATTTTATAAATTTATTATTCAGTGGTTAAATGTGTGACAATAATGAAATTTCAATAGGATGATATAAGCTATCATTTAATTTAGTCATGCTGAAAACCATGATTTGAATAACTTATTAAATTTCACCTTTTCTTTATCTAAATTGTAATTCTTTTGTCTTTAACCTTGGCATATATACCAATATTTTAACTTCTTATCTCTATAATGACAAAATGTTAAAGGATTGATAAACATGAATTCAATATTGAGTGAAAATATTCTATATGATAGTATAGAACGATTTTTGTTGACATTTGTAACAAGGTTATTGCTCACCTTTCCATCTTGGATCTTTATCACGAGGGTGTATTGTATAGTGGGTAGTTATTTTTGGATAAACATCTGAATACAACCTCCTGGCCGCATTTGTTAGCCTCCCCACTGAAAAATAAAATAATATCAATAGGCGTAAATCGTAAAACACAAACATAAACATTGGACCAAGGGATGAACTTTGAACCTTCGAATTGTTATGACATCGCATCAGCGTCCTAAGTTAAGACACTGTTCGTTAATTTTCATCGTTTTTCAGAAGCAAAATAATTAGTAAGACAACTTTTTGTGGAAACCATTAAACTTTTCAAGTTACTTTATAAACAGCTGACTTTTGTACGTGGATAAAATATAAAATAAGCCTTTCGCGACTCTGCAACAAATGCTCTTAGGTTTTTTAAATTGCTTAATTTATCTAAATGTTCATTCATGCACAAAAAACAAATTAATAAATAATTGTTTTACCCTGACGAGCCGAACTAACAATCGCCGTCGCCATTTTCACAACAACTGACAAGACGACAACTCACAACTGACAATTGACAATGACAACCACAGAACACTTTTACTCAAAGAGTGATGACAACATTCATCAACATTGACAATAACTAAATTCCGTTCCAATTTTCCTGATAACTAAATCACATAACATTATCAATTGTGAAATGTATAACAATACATACCAAAAAAATGTAAGAATTATTTTAAATAATAATTTAATAATTGACCGTTATTATTGCACCTACCACAAATTACTTCCACGCCCCGGTTTAACAAGGAGAGAATGCCAAAAGGCATTGAATTCGCTCTATGTAATCCTGGTCTGATTCACAATAACTAAATAATGAGCCTGCCAATTCATGTAATAGTTGAACATAAAGCTGCTGCGTGGCCCTACCACAGTTTAAAATTATATAAAAAATTAAAATTATTGTCATCATCGTCATCCCAATTACTTTTTTCTTCACATGTGAACATTCTAGGGGATAGGCGTTTAAAATGAATTTCTATTACTACAGCCATCAGGGCCAAAGTGTTTCTGTACCACCAACCAATAAAAATAGATATTCCCTGATACAGAATCAAGGAATATCTATTTTTATTAGTTAACTTTCAGTGAAAGTATTCATAGTAGCTGAAAGCTAGCCAAGTTAGAGCATAAGAATGATCCAAATTCGTTTTAGAATCTTGTAACAGAGATTACCTACAGCACAAGAAACAAGTAAGGCTGCTATAGGAACCGTTTGTTATATTACATGTACCAGGACATGTTCAAGGGCAAGTCATTAAAATTATAATAATAATACAATACTTTATTGTACACCAGAAAATAAAAATAAAAAAGTACAAAAAACAAAATGTGTATCAAATATTGGTCATCAACAGGCGGCCTTATTGCTACACAGCAATTTCTTCCAGGCAACTTATGAAATTTACCAAAAGGAGTCGTTGATGGGTAGGTTGTAAATACACGGTTGTACGTGAAATTATGTGTCAGCCAAAGTAGTTACATAAAACCTCACAGATAACAACACCTCAAAGACCACTAAGCAAAACCAAAAAAAGCATTGAACTCTCACATTGAAACATTTGTGACAAGATAACCAACAAGCAACCCTGTGGCAAGCCGCTCCGTCTCCTCAATAAAAAACTCACAGTATGCAATAAAGGTACCGCTTGAGGACTTTAATTCGATAGCCGAATCCACCAAATATAAATATGCAGACTTCGAGAGAAGGCATTACTTCTTTTTATTCTTTTTCTCTCGTTTCGTCTCATTCACGCATATCATGTCATGTCACCTGAACAAAGGCGGAGCAGCCTCGTGATTTGAAAATGGAGACGTTAACGTCATTATTTATGCCGACAAATAATCGACAATAGGTATGAATTTTCACCGTTCCATCGAATTGTCAATATCACAATACTTCCATAATACACATTAGAATACAATTTACAAAAACAATATCCAAATCACTGCATGGTAATTTATGCTGGCGAGGGCCCATGTTATGTTTTGCTACGCCGCAAAATATCTCGCGTCATAACAACATAGTATAAACAGGTCTTATGAATGAAAGAAATATTAAATTAGAACACAGTATTTATTAAAGAAAGCTTAGTAATAATTATAAAATGCAGTCTGCAGCGTTTATTTTACGGGCTTCATCTGCCAGAGGCCATCGTTCAGATAATGGAAGTTCTCTATTCCAACCCCCTTGTTCACTTTAGCTCTGGAAAAGAAACGTAATGTATTAAAATCATATAGTTCACACAAGTTGAGTGTTAAAAAGAGCCTGCTTAAAAGGTTTTAAAATGTTCCCTAATAGGCGGGTTTTATTCTAACACATAGCAGCGTATCGTCAGCACCGTCGATCTGTCAAACAGTTTTTGTCGTTTGGTTGCTGCATAATAAAGGAGGTATGTAAAGAGTTGAGATTGTTTACACATCTTATTACTATGAACAGACTTTTAATGTCCATATATTGGGCATTACAAAATTATCGCAAGAAAATTGGTTTAGCTTTTGTCTCTTGTAAATATTCGTAAGGGAACGCTAAGATACCTATATTCTAGAATACTAGGCTATTGTTATTCTTGGGACTGAATCCTAACACCGGTTATAATGATATTTATACAAAATTGACAGTATATGAATTTTGTAAAAATATCTCTCTATACATAGGTATTCTATCATTAGACAATGATATGATAGTAATGATTATTTGAGAACAATTAGTCGCCACTGTGGGAATCGAACCCACGTCTTCGGCATTCGCGTATTTTTTATACAAATTTTAATGTTAAATCTTAAGTGCAGACATTAGCACTATAAATATTTTAAAAGCATGGGTTACTTGATGACCGAACGTGAACTGCCTGTAGCATTATATTTTAATGCCTACACATTCGCAGACTTTAGGTAAAAATGCTGTTCGGTTCAACAGTGAACCGAACAAACGAATTATACGCGCTGTTTAAACTATTATTATACGCGCTGTTATAATATAATTAATCCAACTTTAAAATTGCTAATACTCGTATAACGATTTGTCACAATTTATTCTTTGCTTTTTTTTTAAATAACATACCGGCCAGTACATCAAATTAAGGACTGTGCCTAAAAGAAAAAAAAAACGCGTCTCACATGTCGTCGGTGGAGAGCGAGGTCATGCCGACCGCCAGCGCGTGCTGCTTGCCCTCCGCCATGACGGCGACCACTTGGCCCTTGTCCACGGTGGACATTCGGGCGCCGGGTGACGTCAGACCCGGACACATGATGTTCGCGCCGCTGAGGACGAACCTAATGGCGCCCTTGTCCACCTGCTGCATCGGCAGGAAGAACGGATCTGCACGGAGACGTTGGTAAGTGAGGTTGAAACGCGGTGCGCAAAAAAAAGACAGCGTCATAGGCATTATTTGACGAGTGCGTTGCTGCGCGGAGCACTTGGAAAGTAAGGTTAAAAAGTGGTGCAAACGAAACGATCATACTTATGCATTTGATGACTCCGTGGCGTGGTCACCGAGGGTCAAGGTCGATTCCCACACTGGACGACTATTTGCGTTACCCACAGAATAACTGTTTAGATCTGAGTATATGTCCACATTGTGGTCAACGCCCTTACAACACAGGATAATCCTGCCATAAGGGCAACGTTTAATAAAAAAATTGTAGTACATACATGAATGTACTTCGCCTGACAAATCTTTACTGAACAGAGAATATTGGGACTAGTACGATTTACCGATTGGCTGATTTTAATAAATATTTTAGGACACATTTGTACACAGCATTCTCTAGTATAAAACTAAGCAACGCTTATACTATAGGTACTAGATAACTGACAAATATGCTTAAACATACTTTTCTTTTGTAAATAAATACATGTCATACTTATATAGACACCCAAACACTAGAAAAACACTATTCATCACACAATATTTTTCCAGTAGTGGGAATCGAACCCACATCCTCTAGTGCAGGAGGCAGGTACACTACGCACTATGCCATTCGGGTCGTATATATTAATTATTTATTATCTCAAGATTCGCATCAACATTGGACACATTAACAAGCAAATATTTATAAGGTCAGTCAAAGTTATACTTATTTAATGTAACAAAAGATTTTTTTTGCATTAAATGCAATTGACAACGGTTTAATTAAATAACCTTGAATTCTTGGTTACGTCAAAAAGTTGTAATTGTAACTTTTTGATGTACCCAATAGGTAGTGTAGCTGATATACCCACGGGCGGCGGTACTCACAACATTAAGTAGATCAAATGAACTCTTAACAACTTTTTACTAAAAAAAAATTAATACAACTCTACATACACTTATGAAGCAGCCTTAACGTGGGCATCCACGGACCCTCGCGATGACGGAAGAACAGAAGCTCGCCCGCGCTGTTCACCATGATTTCGACGTGATCATGGCTGAAAAAAAAGCAAACAATAGCATAATGGTCATTTGTGCAACAGCGATTTTGTTTATACAATACTCGATTCGTTAAGCATATCGTATTTATTTTGACTGTGTACCGCTATATTTTTACGACTGCTATATTATGTCAGCATTATGTCATGTCGACTTAAAGTTACCCACGTTGTCCCTTTACTTAATTCATAAATAGATACTAGCTGACCCGGCAAACGTTGTTTTGCCATATAAATTATTTGTAGGGTAGAAAAAAATGTTTGGGTTGGTCCACCCTTAACAGTTAGGGGAATGAAAAATAGATGTTGTCCGATTCTCTAGCCTGGCCGATATGCACGAAAAAATTTCACGAAAATCGGTCGAGCCGTTTCGGAGGAGTTCAATTACAAACACCGTGACGCGAAAGTTTTATGTATTAGATTCTTTAGACTCCTTATAGTTAGAAACGTTTTCAGTAGAAACTATCACATTAACCATTGGCTTTTATCGTCCACAGCATATGATATATTTGTACTTACTATAATATGTTTAGTCTAGACAGAGCCAAAGAAAACAACACTGCCCGGTCAGATTCCAATGCCAAACGCCCCTACGTTGCGCAAATACTTAGATTCAATGTGTGGAGCTAGCTTAAGACATAATATCTGCAAATAACTATATCGGATTTAGATATTTGTCCAAGTGCAATCTTGAAGTCACATAATAGGAATAAATAAAATTACAGATAGTTATATAATTAGATAGGATAGAAAAGTGAGTCATAATCAGAGCTTTTTTCAGTAAAATAATCCTTATTAGTCCTTTGCAGTGATAGACAAATATAGTCGACACAACATAAAAACGTAGCATGCGATAAATTTTTTCAATAAAACAAAAACTTTCGCCGATTGTATTTTACTATCTTCGTAAGGGTTTTGGTTGGTTGGTATGCTATATCTCTTTTAAATCCTCATCAAAATTGATGTTCAAGATAACAATTCAATGATCAAGTTCCCCCGCTAAAGTTATATAATAAAATAGCTCAATTTTAAAGTTTTACATAAAATTATTTACTTTAAAGAGTTTATTTGGCGCTACCCACAAACAATCCGTTTACAGGCAAAAGATGTTTACGTTATAACCGAATATGTAATTAATCAAGGAGTTTTATAAATTGAATTTGGAAAAACGTCCAAATGTAGCAAAGCCTATATGAATACAAATTATCAACTTAATTTATCACAATCATTACACGTGTTTGTTACACACTGTGTAGAATATTAATTAGATTGAGAGTTTTTATTTGCCTTAAGTTTTATAATTGGATTCAAATATTTTTAACCGACTTCAAAAAGAAACCCCCACCGGGTTTCTCAATTCGATCGTACATATATTTTTTTAAATCACATTATCACGCACACACCGCTTTGTGTGATTAGTATTACCATTTAACGATCCTGAAGGTGTCCTTCTTCGGTAGCACCTGGTCAATGTAGTTCTCCAGGTGGGGGTACAGCTCCAGAAGACGGGAACGTATGCCCTTCTGCACCGAGGACTTCAGCTGTTGGACGCCCGATATGCTCTCCTTTTCGTCGAATCTGAAATGATGCGGGGAAAACCGTTAATAGTCGAAGCCTTAGAAGTAAGATCCTACCACATCGACATCTAAAGCTTTGTCGTTACCTAATGTACTCATTAAAACCTCTAGTTCATTCACTTGATAATTTTGTATCTATATGAAAATTGCACATCGCCGGCTTGAGAAAAAATTGAGTTCACAAAATGTAAGTAAAAAAAAGAATCATCATACCTACGCCATCTATCTAGGGTTTCGGGGTTTCTAACTCTCCGATTCACTATAATATTTTATTAATAGGTATATTCTTTTAATTAGATTGTCAATTTCTCAGACATGAAACGGATTTTATTTAGGTTATTTTATCAAATACTAAAATAAGTTTACTCTTCTTTTATGTTACTCGGTCTTATTTCTTTGTAAGGTAACCACAACTTTCAATATTACTAGCATTTTATGCACATTTTTGTTGTTTTATTTTAACTAACCTCCCCGATTCTAAAATCTGGATACGCCCGTGTACAGGATCAATTAAATTTAGTTAACCGATTTTCTTTATTAGTAAAAGAAACTGGCATGATTTACCTAAACTCGTCAACCAGTAGGTAACTCAAAAACATCTTGTACTATTTTATATACTGTTTTTGTAATTATACCTATATATATTTTATTAAACGATGTGTCCTCGATGGGTTGTGTAGGAACATAAATTTAATAAATATTGTTGTTTTTCCCTCTTTATACATGTACCGTATAAGACATTACGTCTTTATTTTTCTTTATATTATTATTGTCGGTTACAAGAAATAAGTTTACTAACCTAACTAGGTTAGGAAACTTGGTGTTGCTAATTAAGTAGGTATTTATCAATATAGACTTCGCTAAGTTTATATCGTTAAATACCTTAGTAATTATCCCTAGAGTCAACGTATTCAGCATGAATGATCGCATTTGAAGCAAATCACGTGCATTCGTGCAATGGCTTCGGAGGCCTTACGGTAACGGCCCTATTTCACACGTGGCCGCAGAAACGTAAAGTAAGACAATTGAATGATATATCACCGGGTCAAGGTGAGAGACGATTGATTGAAAATTCCGAACGCGTATTAACGGTTATTACCCAATACTTAACTGTTAAATCTGTATTCAGCATAATGAGTAGGTACTATATTAACGATACCAAAGAATTACCTAATACATAACTGTAACATTTGTATTCAGCATAATAGGTACCGTATTAACGAAATCGAATTCCTGTCTAGTTTCCTATTTAGTTATAGCTATGATCGGTGCCAGTGAATATGTCAGTAAGAAATTCAATAGGTCGCGTATATCAGCTTTAAGCCAGAGATAGCTGCTGTTAACGTTAACTAAGTTTAAAAGTTATAAGGTAATTTTGCTTCGGCTGTCGGCTGGTATAAAATAAACGCAGGTATAAATTGAACACGATTCTCCTCACTCAACTATAAGGAATCCTTTCAGAGGACCAAGAAGCTACGAAAACCTCCAAACAACTACAACAAAATACGTACTAAGCACTAGCACTTTTCCTGTTGTTGGACGTTACCATTGCAATGGATAAAGTGAGTTTAGCAATAAACTCGATAGCTAGCGTGACTAGATCTAATTCTGGATAAGGACCGACAGGCAATGTGGAATAAATCTCTCGCCATTAGAGATAAGCGCCAATTTAAGTGGGCCATCGATTACTCTAAAAGCATAAACAATGCAATGGTTGCTTTAAGGACACATCTAGATAACTTGATATAGTTTTTTATCTTATAGCCAAGAAAATTACATGTTGTTAATTTTTATTCATTTATTTATCCTTTATTGCAATACCTTAAATAGGGATAATCAGAGGTGGACTTGACGTCATTCCAATTGGCTTCCCTTCCTCTACCAGTCAAGCCTGCGCGTGAATAAAAACTGCAGCAGTTAAAAAAGTAAAATCGGAATGAAGTAAAAATAAATAAGCATGTAAGTTACTTAAACACAAATAATAATCATGTAAAAAGTGTAGAACAAACATATCTATTAGTTTATTAAATATTAGTATGTAAGTTTATCATTGAATATCGAAATCCATTATCCGAATATGTTTTCCAACGATTAAAAGATTATTTTAAATTCCATATGTCAATGGAAGACATCTCTCCTTGAGTCGTTATAAAACGATATTCGAAATTGTTTGTAAGCCGTAAAGAATATAACAATAGATGCGCCAAGCATTGCTTTTGAGTGAATGCAATATGAAGAAAACAACGTAGAAACACGTTGAGAATATCGTCGGTTTGGCAAACAGCCGTTTAGCTTAGTGGTTAACGCGTCTAGGCGCGAATACGGAACGTGGATTCAATTTCCGCAACGGCGAGCAAATTTTCGTCCTTTTTCTACAAATTTTATTGTTTTACACTATAAAAATGTAAAGAATAATTAGTGGAAGCATTTTTAAATAGCACATATTATTTAACAAATGCACAAATTAAAAACTTTGTATTATTTCTAGATACTACTATTATTACTCTAGAGTCTAGACATACTCTAGACTCATTTGAGAAGAGAGTTGCAGTAACCACTGTCCCCATCTGCGTAACACGTTCAATTGCAAAAGGCATGCAACTTATTTGCAATGGAAAAGTTGCGGTGTGGCTTTCTTAACATCGTATCGTATCCACCTTCACCGCCTTATAGGAGGATGGCGATAAACTACACCGTTTATCAAGAGTTTACGAATCAGTTTAGATATATACATATCTTACTAATTCGGTTAAACTCTTGTGTAAAATTGGTCTATGACCATTCACTCGTCTCAAGTGTTCCCTTCTTTTATTTTATAAGCGAAGAAAATTGTTTTCAATCAAAATCGTTTAATAAAATGCCTAATTCACATGCGAACGGATAAGGCTAATTGCTACTTGATTGAACGTTACAAGGCGGTAGCGAATTTTCGAAATTTCCCCTCATTGCAAAAGTCCCTAAAGACGGGCAACGAAACTAAATTTTCGAATCCTTCGCATAGAGGCATTAAATCGAAAAAACACATTCCGTTTTAATTGAAAATTTACAACTGAGAATATTTAACATAAGTAGAAAAATAAAAACCTCGTAATGTTGCGGAAAACAACTATGATTATTTTTTCTAACAATCAAAGCCTTTCGGCGGCGATAGGTGGAGATTTTCGTCGGTTTAGCAGTCAGCCGTTTGGCTTAGTGGTTGAAGCGTCTGGGTGGGCGCGATTCCGAAAGACGAAGGTTCGATTCCGGCAGCGCCGGAACTATTGTCCTTTCAATGAGTTATTGACAGTCGTATTTGTCATTCGTATGAGGGAAAGAGAATTTATACTGTGTTTAATACCTTTACATAGGTGATTATCGTAAATCCTTATCATATAGTTCACCCGCACTTGATAACTACCGATATAACAATCTTCAATTAATTTTTGAAACAATTACTCAAGGTTAGAATAAATATAACGCAACGCGGGCGATTCCCGTCGAACCTACTTCTATTCCTATTGTTCGTGGATGTGGATTGAATGGAGCTAAAACGGCGATTTAAAGATTATAAAATATTCAAGTGGTGTTTGAAACCTGTTATAACATAGGCGTATCAATAAAAATGCGCATTTAAAGTGAGACGCTCGTTCCCGTAAGCAAAATATGCGAGAATCGTTCATCAAATGAGAATTTCCCACTTCCGTAATATTATTGTCAATTTAATATCGCATAAAAATTATAAAGAAGTCAAGATTTTGGATGGATGTCACTGTTGTGATTTTAAGGTCACCGTTGGGTTCTAGAACATTCCCCGTAAGAACGTAACGTTCACGCCAAATGTTAGCTAAGAAATAGTCAAAAGAAAGCAACTGAAGATTATAATGAGAATATTCAAGAAATTAATACGTATAATTATATTATTCCTTAAAAGGATATATATTAAGGAAGGATTTTTTCGATCTGATTAAGAAGAGAAACAAACTAAACTAGCAGCCTGTGCAGCTATGAAATCAGTATAAAGCACGCAACCGATTGTAATATTCCGCGGGTTGAAAAAGGATTCAGTAAAAGGAGACATGGATTTTTAAGTGCAGTAAAAACGTCTACAGTCACGTACAATATGTGGATTTTGAATATTCCTGCGCTTTATCCCAACAAAGGTCTTCAATTCAAAAACAAGTTACATTCTCAACCGACTTCAAAAAAGGAGGAGGTTTTCAAGTTGACTGTATTTTTTTTTGTTTGTTACCTCAAAACTTTCGACTGAGTGAAAGGATTTTGATGATTCTTTTTTTACTTGAAACCTTGTGCTTCCCATGTGGTCAGTATCTCCGGGGCCCAAGATCCATTACCAATTTCATTGGTATTGGATCTTGGGCCCCGGAGATACTAAGGCAACTCCGGAACATTAATTATAAAATGAGAACAGAGCGAGATATTTGAAGTCGGTTTGGTTTTTCGCTAATAAAAAATGGACTTGTTGAGTTCAAATTGCAATTTTATTCTGATAATTTTATATCTAAATGGATAACTTTAAAATTCATAATTTTACGGTTACAATAATGTAGTTTGTCTCAAAGTTGTCGACAGAGACGAGTTGGCAATAAAAACTGTGTATTAATAAATAATTCAACCAGTAAACATATTCAAAAACATGAAAGCATTCATAATTTATTCACAAATCCAATTTAACACTTTGATAGGTTCACACAGCTTCAGATAAATACAAGGTTAAAACATTAAATACGTAAAAAGGGATTACACTTCTACCAGAACTTGTTTATATAGCTGCCCGCGACTACGTCTGCTTAGAGGGGTGAAAATTTAGGGTTGTATATAATATTTTTGTATGCTGTATCATTAAAAAATAAAAACAAAAAATTTTATATAAAAAAATAAAAAAAAAATTTAGGGGTGGATCACCCTTAACATTTAGGGGGATGAAATATAGATGTTGTCCGATTCTCCACCCTGACCGATATGCACACAAAATTTCACAAAAATCGGTCAAGCCGTTTTGAAGGAGTTCAATTACAAACACCGTGAGTGCAACTGTTGAGTTTCTTACCGGTTTCTTCTCAACAGAAACTGCTTTCCGAACCGGTGGTACCTTACTTACGAACGTATTAATTTTTATGTAGAATGTTGGCGTTTCATAAGTACGCGCAAGCGTCTATGTGAATAATTATATTTTTGATTTGATTTTGTGACACGAGAATTTTATATATTACATGTAATAACTATAAAATCAATAACCAATTAAACTCACAATATTTTTTATGTGAAAAGTTTGCAAGCGGGCAGGCGATCCACCCGATGTTATTTGATTTCCGTACGCGTACATTGACATCTCCAACAAACTCAGTGTCCTAGCGCTCGCTTTAATGTTTTACCATTATAAATAGCTTTATATAACATTGTCACTTATCTGATTTCTCGTGGGCAAACTAGGTAATTTTACTTCCGCAAACTATCGGAATATTATTTACATTTCACGGGGTAACTTGTAAGTAATTCTTCATTTTTTCTGCCATGATCCAACCAGGCGGGGTCGCCTGGTTGGTCATGGCAAAATGAAACAGAAAATAACACAAAATCATAATAGCACGTTATAATTTTC